CAACATGAATATTATATGAACTTTCCAAAGGGTCTTAAGATCATGCTTTCTATTTTCCACTCTTAGCACCTTGTCAGAGTCTAAGATTCTTGAGTAATAGAGTTTTATCATTGAAATGGCCAATAGAAATGCTGTGATCCCTTATTTTGTTGGTGACAAAACTGAGACCCAGAAGATATAACTTGCCACGTTACACAACTAGTTACTGGCAGAGTTGGAATTCACACTGGGATCGCTAGATCCTTAAACAAGTAAAGTTGGAGCCTGATACTGTTTTTTTTTTTTTTTTCTTTTGAGAAATCCATTCACACAGATCTGGATGATTTTAAGTTGCATAAATCCTCACAGATCTTTTTATAATGCAGTGGAAGGAGTAGGGATTTTAATATGATAAAGGGGAAATAAGCTGGGAGAAAGCTCTGGGTTGTTCTCTTGCCATTTTTGTTATTGCTGGGGGAACACAAGGAGGTGACATTGGAAAAACAGCATTCTGACACTTGTGCACTAGGTGGTCTCGGGCAACTTTTGTAATCTCCTTGAGCCTTTGTTAAACAAGGAATAAGACCAGGTAATCTCTGAGCAAAGTCATAGGTTTTCTAGATTTAGAACTCAGAGAGACAAAATCCTGACGTAGCAACCAGGGAGAGCACAGACTTGGGGTCCTCAGAAGTGGTGATTAGCTATTTCAGGGACAACAAAAGGGCCTGTTCAATTAAGAGAAATTATTTATGGTGGCAACTTTTAAAATACGAATAACACTTCCTTGACATGGTAAAATATGTTTATCAGGATTAAGGAAAGGAGGCTCACTCATGCCACCATAATTAAAGTTGACTCCGGAAGCTCTAGACAATGCCATTGGCTCTGTGATAGCTCTTGGTGATTGAACCCATTTGAACCAGGGAATTATGACTCTAGTGGAATTTTAGGCATCATAGACAAGAGGAACTTTGGATTATAAGCTTTCTGGAAAGTCTTCAAATCCTATTTTGACATCTATTTCTGTTTTCATCTGAGCATTTTCAAGGACAACTACTTTATAACAACTTTTCACTCACAATTCTTCCTGATTAGGTAGACAGAACAGCCTTGAGGAAGGAGCTGGACCCATGAGAAGACCACGTTGCAGGCCAGCCAGCCTGCAGGCCTCATCTGGGCCATTACTATCACCAAACCCTGTATGTTTTTATGAAAAGACATGGGATGATACCTACTCTGTCGGCTTCACGAAATTCTTTTAAGGAGCCAATGAAAAACAAAGTGCATGTTTATAGGTAGGAGGGGTGGTTCTTGTCAGGAGCCCTCAAGTCCACGGCTCTTCAGGCTCCTGGAACTCACACAGCTAAACATCCACACTGGCCCCATGAAACCACAGCCGTTTCCTAGAGCACCCAAGGCCCACGTCGCAGAACCCCACACAGCCGGAGGCATGATTTTTCAGTGCAAAAACCAGCTTGGAATGGCGTTAACAGAGCAGGTAGAGGGAAAAGGCCTGGGGCTTTGGAATTTTAAAAAGGGAACCAACACCAACATCTCTGAAATAAATTGATTTGGTTGAAACTCTTCCAAAGAAATTACCTTAATTCTGAGACTAAATATGCTGCGTTCCAGCCCAAATGGACTTTTCTTGGCCAATCCCCCTGAGAGGTAAACATTGAAGTTTAATAGGGAAAGGGCAGTAGAACTCGCAGTTTTAGCTCACTGATGTCACTCGGTGCTCTGTGAGCCAAAGAACAAGAAAATCCAACACTTCCTTCGAGTATGAAAGCATACGATGGAAACGATACAAATATGTTTGTGGTTTCTCTATATTTCTTTTAAAGAAAAGCACAGGACTTGAAGAGGATACATTTTTCAGAATCTTGACAGACATATGTGCTCCTCTTGGAGAAGAGCCCACCTAGGAATCTTGGCTACATGGTCAAAAAAAATGTCGTCTTTTTATTCCTTGATTAAAAAAGAGAAGGTCTAAACCATGCAAGAACTTAATATTAAATCAGATTTCAAACGTCAGGTCCAGGGATAAGATCTTACAATCTGGATGTAGGGGAGCTTTGAGTGAAGGCGGTGTTCATTTTACTGGTTAGATCTGGAGCTTTAATTTCCTAAATCAACAGGAATAAGGCTCAACAGGACCCCAGGCCTTTTTTTTTTTTTTTTTGTTTCTAGGACTCGACCATGTTTGAAAATAAATCATTTCTTGATAAGAAAGATATATTCCTGGGTCCACCCTGAAATGCAGAGTTTTCAAAGCTGCCTCTCAGCAATTCCTTTAAGTAATTAAATGACAGGGGAGAGACACCTCACTTCACACAGTGAAAAAGCCTTCGTTCGGTCAATTTCAAATGGCAGCTTGCTAGGGTCAGGCCTTACAGGGCCTTCTCCTGGGCAGGTGAAACAAATGCTCTCTAAGAGAGCTTGCTACTTTGAGCCATCTCTTGATTTCCACTGGACTGCGCAGAATACTTGGGTGAATTCAATTGGATTCCATCAGCCCGAGTGAGGAAGATGGCCCCATCCACAAGAGACTGGAGTGAATCCATCTTTATATTCACCGGCCCTAATACCTAGTGAGCATTCCGGTCAACAGTTGGTGATTGAATATAGCTGCTTAAACAGAAGAGCTGTTAGAGAAGAGAAGAGGGGACCATCAAGTTTCCCTAGGTTTGGAAATGAACATGGTCCAAGCTTTAGGACTGATATTTGATCTGAGCCTTCCAGGAAAATACTCAAGAGAGCAAATAATCATGCATGTGTCTACGTAAGTTTCAGGTTATACAGGTCTAATTCATAAAAGGGGGGCACTGGTGTGTATGTTGAGCCCCCACTTCCTTGATGTGGAAAGTGACCCATGGGGCTGACAACCCAGCTCCTGGGCCCCCAGTTTTCTGCCCTCGGAGGTGCTGGGTCTGCCTCTGCGCTGGACCTGGAGCTCTGTCCTGGGCGGCTGGAGCCCGACCCTGGGATGGCCTCACCTGACTTCCAGCTTTGTCCTCACTTGGGTTCCTGTTTGGCCCGTGGTCCTTGGCTTCCCTCCACCCCCAGGGGATGCAGTTACTCAGAAACTCCCAGCTGCTCCCTAGGCCCACACTGAGTTTCCAAACAAAACCCGAGAAAACCTCCTCAGTGGCAGCCTTGGCCACATTTGGCAACTGTGCGGGTCCACCGTGCACCACGGGCTCTCGGAGCCCAGCCACTCCAGGTGCACACGGAGCCCGGACGAACACGGCCTCTGGGATGTGGCCAGGAAAGATCTGCCCAGGAATGCCGAGGTCCCATGTATTTCTCTTGGTCTTTGTGTGGCAGCTTGCCCCTGCCCTGTGAGTGCAGGCTCCCATCTCTGCAATCGTGCGGCTGGAGGAAGGCTCTCCGTGTCGGGCTCACCTCAGAGGGATATGGAATCTTCTGTGCAGGGAACACGGTTCATGTGAGGTCTCCTACCTCCCCTTCTTCTTACCAGTTGCCCTCTGGCTGTCTGTGTTTGAATCCGTCTTGTGTTCTCTTCTTGTCATCCCATGTCACAACCTCATTCAGGTCACCAGTTCTGGCTGAACTGTTTGTCCCATCCCCTACCTCCTCTCTCTTTCTGCATGGTCTCCATCCTCTGGAGGCATCCGATTGCAGACTTCCCCTCCTAAGGTGACCACCTCTGGTGGCATGATTCCCTTGCTCAAACCCCTCCTGCAGCCAGCTTGCCCACTCTGTGATTCCCTGATTCCTTATCCTGGTGTTAAGACGGTCTCTGGTCAAGGCCCTTTGGCCAAGGGGGTGAGCTAAAGCATGTACTCCCCTCTCATAGTGAAGAGCTATGTCTTGCAAGTGGCTGCTATCTAGGACCTATAGTCCCCCACTCACCCCTGTCCTCCCTGCACCCAGGTTTGCAAAGGAAATGTGAGCAGAGCCAGGTTTCAAACAAGATCTGCACATATCGCGCTCTCTCTCTCTCTCTCTCTCTCTCTCTCTCTGTTGGAAACTAAGAATTTTATGTCTGCCCCATCCCTGAGTAGGAGGAGTCATGGATGGAAGGAGTGTGACCCCAGGGTGAAGATGAAAAGTTCCCTTCAGTTTCATCTGTTTTGTGAGGGAGAGGAGTCAAGTCTTGTCTTAAGTGGTTAGAAATTTGAGATTGATTTTTTGTTTTGGTTTTTGTTACCTTGACTAACCCAGGCCTCAGTGGTGTTACCTACTATTTTTCATGACTCTCATTTATCTCCTGAGGGCAAACTTTCTGTCGGCTTCCCTGCCAGCTCACCTTATTATGGATGCTCAGGTTACTTTCTCCCCCCCTCTGTGAGTGCACATCACTCTTCCTATCCTGGAAGATGCAGATGAAGCACTCCTCACTCCACTTTGCCCCTTTGGCAGCTACGGCTGCAGGGCAGGCCTCCCTCCCCTGGCCCCTCCGATCCCTCTCTTGATCTGTTCCTCTCCTGTCTGCTGCCTCCGTCCCACTGTGTGTTGCTGTCAGTGGTTGGTGTTTCCTTTCTCCTGCCAGCTTGAAGTTCTTGGGAAGTAGGAAAGGTAATGTTTGTTTTAACTTTGTCACCTCCAAAGCAACTTATATTTAAAGTCACTTGGTTTTTATAGAACTAATGGTTGAGTGTGCGAGTAGCAAGTGTAGGACCCTCTTGTGGCGACTGTGCAGAATCAGCCATTTTGCCTCCCTGACTACCATCTCTGCCCACTGCTCCCTTCTGCATTACATGAAGTGTAATGAAGGACACAGTCCAGAAACTTGGAAGTCAGACTGCCAAGGTTCCAACACAGCCTCTGCCATTAACCTTCAGCTGTGTGACTGTCTGCTTTCACCCTCTGCTTCCGCCCAAGTCCCTTCATTGTGCAGTAGACAATATCTATCCTACCTTTTAGGGCTACTCAAAGATTAAGAGAGAGAGTATTTGTGAAGTTCTTAGAATGGTATTGGGTCACCGTGATCATGAATGCAGTGTTCTCATTGCATGGCTCTTTGTTCAGATCCTCTTTTCTTTATGTACCTCTGCTCCCTGGCCCTTCCAAGACACTGAGGAGCCAGGGTTGAGGTCAGTCAAGAGCCTGGATGGTGGAGGGCTTTCCTTGTGTTTCCCTGACCGTGAGCAAGTGTTGACTGAACCTGCCTGGGCGGGGTGATGAGCCAGAGAGAGAGCCATGGCCACTGGGCTACAACTGTCATTAACTCAGAAGAGGAAATAGTGGCACATACGCCAGGTATTCTCCACTCCTAAAGAACTGTGAGTAATAGGGGTTGGAATGTGGAGGAATGAGCAATCAATCATAGAATTTCAAGTATCTAAAAGTAACAGTTCAGAATTCATACAAATTTAAATCTGGAAAACCATAGAGATCATTGACTAAGTACCCTCATTTGATATAGGAAGAAATGAACACTTAAAAGAGAAGTGACTTGCCCAAGATGTCACTGTTGGTTTCTGTAGAACAGACACAAGAACCAAGTTCAGCTTCTTCCTTAGATATCACAAGTTCTAATCTCAGATTAACCTTCTAACCCTCTTCACACTTTGGTCTCTGGTCCAAGAACTTTCAATGGCTCGCCATGACCTTAAAGGTCAAGGTCAAATCTCATATGCTTTATTAAAGTCATCCACAGCCTGATTTCATTTCTCACTCCTAGCTCACCTGTGGCTGGCACTCTCTTAGAATATTAGGGATAATATAAATCTATGTGATTTTTTGTAAAAACATTTAGCAATATACACCAAGAACCTTGAACAGCTCATATGGTTGACTCTGTAATTCTTCTAGGTCCCTTCCTAAGGAAATATTCCTTCTTAATAAAGAGAAACTTATGTACATAAGGATATTTATTGTAGCCATATTTATAACATAAAGCTAGAAAGGACCTAAATGTCAACCATGAAAGGAGTCTTAAAATAAAGTATGGTGTATCTACTAGATGAACTATTGTGTGACCATTACAAGTGGTGGACATAAAAACCATGAAATAGCACGGAATATACTTACAAGATGGAATATTGAATAAAAAATAGGAAATAAAAATATACGTTGAGTATAATTACATTTATATGAAAAATACATGTAGAGAAAAGAGACAATAAAGAAATTTAAACTCTGAAAGAAATTTAATAACTGAAAGACCTGGACATCTTACTTTCTTCTCAAAGTCTCTGTTTCTCACATGAAAAGTGAGAAATAAAGATACTTACCTTCCAGGTTGGTGTAGGGATTCAATAAGTGAATACATGAGGTGCCTGGTGGAGTTTACATCACTTAAATGAAGCTAGTTCCTCCCAATGTCGATTTTCGTCTTTATAGTGCTCCTCGTCTGAAATCCTTCCACCATCCTCACTATTGAGTCAGACAATAAGATAACTGGGATATACTTTATTTATTTACTTACTTATTTATTTTTCAGGGTGTTGGGGATCAAACCCAGGGCCTGGAACATGCTAGGCAAATGCTCTACCACTGAGCTATACCCCAGCCTTCTGAGATGTTCTTTAAATGAGCACTATTCATTTGTCTATGGTCTGTGCCAGTCTTCAAGATGACCAGTGTAGAGATAAAGTGAGCATCCATATGATCCTGTCACCCATGAGCAATAAACATGCCAAGGCCCCACAAAGGGTTCTGTGGCCTGCTTTAAAATGCAACAGAAGAGGGAGAAATGGTGAGGATGATGGGCAAAAAAAAAAAAAATAGCAAAATTCTTCAAAATCAGTGAGAGGTATACAAGGGGGAGGAAACTACACTATTAATTTTACTTGTATGGATATTTGAATATTTCCATAATAACAGCTGTTGAAAATTCCTATAAAAATCCTCTTAAGAGGCAGCTCTAGCCCCATCTTTTGGTGCTATATTTCCTGTGTGTTTTGTCATACTGCTCTTACTTTAATGATGAACTTTCCGGTGGCTCATATTCACACCCACATGCACATACAGTGGCTCCCCTTTGCCTGTGTGCCTTTGTGGATATGTCTCAGGACATTCTGCAAATGTCTGAAATCTCAAATGGTACCAAACCTTATATACACCGTGAGTTTTTTCCCTACACACATAACTATGATTATGTTTAATTTATAAATTAGGATAGTAAAAGATCAACAACAACAATAATACAATAGAATAATTATAAGAATGTCCTCTTATAATAAAAGTTATTTCCAACATATGAATTATTTATTCTGGAATTTTCCATTTCATATATTCCAGCCACAGTTGGTCTTAGCTCACTGAATCTGTGGAAATTGAAATTGCAAGTTAAGGCAAACTACTGTACCAATACATATATACACACATGAATGTACATATTACATCTTCAAATAGAATATAAACTCTTGAGAGCATACATCTTGTTTATATTTCTGCTTGTCCCATAAAACATTTCAAAGACACAAGGATGCCCAATCATTGTTTTGTGATTGAGCTAGATCAGTTTTTCCAGTTTGCCTAATGAGGAGGTCCTTGTTAAAACCCCAGATTTATGTGCTGCTCTCTGGAGATTCAGATTTGCTTGGCCTAAGGCAGAACCCTACCTATAGATCTGCCAAGAAAACTCACTTTCTTAGAATCAGAAGAGCTGTTAGGTTTTATAACGTCCTCTATTAAAATGTGGACTTATTTAGAAAGGGAAAGTAAATTCAAACATGTTTTTGAGGCTAGCTGAACAACACTCTCAGTCTCTATCCCTCCATCCTCGGCCCAGGATAGAAAATATAAACTTGGAATTGCAGTAGAACAAAGATCAAGGTCAGGGTGGTCTCAGAGAGAAGAGAAAACATCAAGAAGAGAAACTCCCTGCTTTTTAATCAACCCTGAATCTATTTGTTGTACTTTTGTATATGGGCTCTGAAAATCCCTTCAACAATCTTTCAGTTATTTAAACAAATTTCAATATGTTTCGGCATTATGAAACGACTATCCACAAAAAGTTCATGAGCCTAAAATCAAATACTCTGATTAAAGCTTAGAAATAATAACAGACATAACGAGTTCTGTGCATCTTGTGGCTGTGCGTCAAGAACTGGGCTAAGTGCTTTACATACCTCAGTGCTAGCACAGACGAAGGAACCCAGCCTCCAAAAGTTTAAATGACACATGCCCAAGGCCACATAGCCTTGTAGGTAAAAAAGCAGCTACTAGATCCCAGATCAGCTTGGTGTTGGAGACCATCTTTCTGTTCTGCTGCGCTGCTTTGTTTACCTGGTACCTAGCCAGGGTCAGGGAAGCGTGGATTCTCAGTACCCACTAGTTAAATAGCTGAGCGAATATTCCAAAGTGTTCGGTTCCTATTTGTTCTCAAACTGGTCTTGGAAGTTGTAATATTCAAAATAGGATGTTGGAGATGTAGAGAAAAAGTCTAGAAAAAACAAAAAAAATTTTTAAAGAAGAGAACAAATGAAAGGTAGAAAAAGTAAGACAAACAAAATAAAAATTTAGAGGAAGAGTAAAATGATTGGGGTTATTAACCACAGAGAGGAAAGAGTTGAAGGCAGCCTATAAATGGTCCTTGTGGTTGATGGAGCGAGGAGGAGGGTAGTGAGGGGAAGATCCGCAGCTGGAGGATCCAGTGGGGCAGCAGCCCTGGACTCACCAGGCGAACGGGCCGCTTTGTGGTATGGTTGACCATGGGGTTCTGGATGGCAACCAATGCTGACTGCTGAGAAATGTACAGGGAAGGAAAGGGCTGCAGACCTCGTTGACTGCTCCGTTCAGGAGGCCTCATTCTTTGCCTGCCCTGTGCGTATATCATCCAGTGTTCTACCTGTCAGTGCTGCCCAGCATCAGTCTTGTCTATCACAACAACTGGAAATACCATTATCTGAATATAATTGCATTTCTGCAAAGAGGACTGAGTCTCAGTGGATAATCTGACATCATAGACCATGATGGATCATCTCAGACCATATGCCCTGAAAGACGCACATACCACACTTAAGCCAAAGATTATGTCACATGCACCATGGTCTCTCCATCGAAGTTGATGTTGCCAATGGATTGGGCTCCAAATGAAAGCATGGAAGGCAACAGAAAGCTCGTACATGCAGCTGTACCCTGGGAGCTGTGGAGTCACCGCTTGTCAGCAATGGCAAGAGTGAGTTGACAAGAAGATCCTGCATGGACTGCTGTCTTATTCAGCCTCCCTGTTTATTCTTGTGCTCCATCTCCTATTTCTTTGCAACCAACTAATGTGAAATCTCCCCATTGTAACTAGTTTGAGGAAATAGTTAAGTAAGGGATATCATTTTTATTGAAACTGCCACACATAGAAAAATACAAAGAAATGGAGCAAAAAGGTATCCACCTGGGGATGAGCACCATCCATTGGATTATAGAAGGCTTTAGACCTTGCTGGGATTATTGCAAAATTCCCTTGAAGTCTCTGGTGCCTGGGTGTGCATCTGAACCTCTTCTTTTAAAAAAAATGTCAAATGATGTTACATAAGGAGATTCTAAATTGACTACCAAAGAGTAGAATGATTTGAAGTATCTAAATTTATTTCCTCCAAATGATAACCACTGTGTCAGCTGACTCTTCCAGATCAGGCCAAGTGTTCTTGGTCCAGGTGTTGAGCCTGGTTAAAACCATCTTCCAAAGCCTCTTGCAGAAGCCTCAGTTCCTCCAGTTGGAACTCTCTCTGCCTCTTCTCATTTTCTTTTTTTTTTATTTATTTTATTTATTTTTTTTATTGGTTGTTCAAAACATTACAGAGCTCAAGACATATCATCTTTCATACATTCGACTCAATTGGGTTTTGAACTCCCCAAATACATAATACAGACTCACTTCTGTTACATACTCACATTTTTACATAATGGCATATTAGTGACTGTTGTATTCTGCTACCTTTCCTATCCCCTACTATCCCCCCTCCCCTCCCCTCCTAACAATTATCAATTTGTATGCACCAAACAATGGAGCCTCTTCTCATTTTCTCCAGTGCTCTTTACTCACAGCCCTGGTCAAAGGCCACCTGGACTTACTGACTGTCCTATGGTGGCACTGTCGCAGGTGCCTTTCTCTTCATGCCTAGAGTAGAGCCTCAGCTGCCAGGGAGGGACATCACATGGGTGTCTTGTGAAGTTCAGCATTTGTTTCTGAGGGCATTAGACACCACAGAAACCCCCTTTGAGCAATTAGGGTAGTAATAAATGATCCAGGTTGTGCTACTAGAAACAGCACAGCAGACTCTCAGTGGTGGCATTGCTTGCCTTGGAAACCAGCTGCGGCTGCACCTATTTTTCTGAT